TTTAACCATCAAGCTGTTATCGCGGAGGGAGGATACTGCTTGACGGTCTTTATGGGGATGTCCAGCTGCTGAACACCTTTTTTGACCAGAAGAGTGGCTGTGTTGATGGCTTCAGGGTGGCCACTGCATGATTCAGGAACTCTTAAATCTCTTCTAAGGTCATTGGTTGCTTCACATTCCAGAAGATAGTGAAGTAATGGCTTTTCTGTGACAGTTTGGCAGAAGATGCACTCTCTCTGTCGGGGTTCACCAATCTCCCAGTTGCATCTGTAACCTAGACGTAGTCTATATAACCTAACTGCTATTTCCATGTGGATTCCTTTTGGGATATCTTTCCACTGTTTTCGTCCTAATATTTGAAGTGCAGCTTTTGAGTCTGTGTGTATGATTGCATTTTGAGTGTTTTGTGCAATCACATATGCGAGTGCCTGTTGTATGGCAAACAGCTCAGTTTGGGTTGATGATACTAGTCCTCCCAGTCTCCAATATGCCTGAACGCTGGCCGTGCAAAGAGCAGCGCCAGCACTCTCATATTCTGTGTCAACAGATCCGTCTGTGAAGATGTGGGTGGCTCCTGCTACTGCTATGCTATACATTTGCTTTTCTGTGATACGCCTTAAGATTGTTGGATCATAGGCAGCCTTTTTCATTGGGAGACTTTCTATTACTATTTTAAAGGTAGCCTCCTCCCACGGTGGAGAACAAGTGTAGTTTGGGTGTGGTTGATCACCTCCCTCTCTCAAGAATCATGCTTTTTAATTGTAGTCTGTTTAGGACTTTTCCTGCTCTGGCAGCCCAAGAGTTTCCGTTGTTTTGACCAAGTCCAACCACCAAGGCCTGCCGTACTGGGACTGGATCAGGGGAAATAATTATTTTACTGATAATTGTAGCTGTTCTTTGTGATATTCTTTCTTGAAGAGAGGACAAACCCGTTTCCAGTCTAAGAGTTTCAAACTTGGTCCACATGGGGGCTCCCAGTGCGGCTCTCATAGCATTGTTTTGGGCAACTTCAAGCTTTTTCCACTGTTGGTGTGATAGATTTGTGAGTGCAGGTGCGGCATAGTCGATCACTGATCTGACTACCTGTACATAGTATGTGCGAAGGACTTGCAGATTGGCTCCTCCAGAGAGGTAGGTTAGCGACCTGAGGATTGCCGTCCGGGCCGCAGTTCGCTCTCTTGAGTAAGTGACCTTACTGAGATTGTTGTTATAGATTCAGCTACTCGGAACAAGTTCCAAGTAGCACGGGCTATGGTGAGCCCGTAACTTACCTGGCACAGGAAAGGGGCAAGAAGCACGGACTATGGTTAGCCTCGTGGACAGGAGATGTCTTCCGTACTGAGATAATGTTATTCTGGTTATATATGTCTCGCACAAGGGGCCAGGTGTGATCTATTCACAGGTCTGACTCGAGGAGCGGTATGCTATCCCTGAGGAGCAATGTGTGACCCAACCACACTCTCGCCACTACACCCACGAGCCCAACACACACACACCCACACACTCACCTACACACCAACACAACTGCAAAAACCTGAACTTCAGTGACCGTTCACCTCGGCCTCCCAACAAACCCCACCAAGTTTCCTTTCTTGAAGATAGTAATTTGCAACTTGTTAATGCCTAACCTGAGCCACTCTCTAGCAAATTTATGGTCATAGCCTGAGCTCACACACACACACACACACACACATTTATACATATATATATATATATATATATATATATATATATATATATATATATATATATATATATATACACACACACACACATTTGATGGTGGTATAGGAACGTGGCCGTCACGGGTCAAGGGTACAGGTCAATAAAGCTGTTTGTATAAGCATCCAAGTCTCTCACTTCTTCAGTTACATTGAACAATTATTCGTAGAGTATATATTCCTATCTGATTCATTTACCTATTTGTATTTACCTAAAGTGTGTAATTACAGATTTATTTTAATTGCTTGTTTGTGTATATAAATTCAGGTTTATACATTCGTTAATTCATTAATTTATTTCACCTTGCAGAGTGTTGCGAGGGTCGCGGGCCGCCGCCATGGACTATGAAGCAGGTAACGTCCTACACTATGAGTATATTGGTACCAGATATACCATATCTAGGGGGAAGACCTTATGGTGTTATAGTTATTACCAGATATACCAGGCAGGGGGGATGCTAATCATGGCTTTATCAACACCTTGTGTTGTGTACAACCGTCGAGGTCAGGCCAGTATAAGACCAGCCAGTATAAGACCAGCCAGTATATGACCAGCCAGTATATGACCAGCCAGTATATGACCAGCCAGTATAAGGTCTGGCCAGTATAAGACCAGCCAGTATAAGACCAGCCAGTATAAGACCAGCCAGTATAAGGTCTGGCCAGTATAAGACCAGCCAGTATAAGGTCTGGCCAGTATAAGACCAGCCAGTATAAGACCAGCCAGTATAAGGTCTGGCCAGTATAAGACCAGCCAGTATAAGGTCTGGCCAGTATAAGACCAGCCAGTATAAGACCCCTGGTAGCGGTTGCTATCATTATTTAGGGTTCTGTTCACGGAGGTGTCATAAGCTTCGTGAATTGTCATTGTATAGTTGTAGCTTAAACACGTCGTTGATATCATTATCTTAAACACGTTATTGATATCATTATCCTTAACACGTTATTGATATCATTTTCCTTAACACGTTATTGATATCATTATCTTAAACGCGCTCATTGATATCATTATTATTGACACGTCATTGATATCATTATTCTTAACACGTTATTGATATCATTATCTTAAACACGTCATAGATATTATTATCCTTAACACGTCATTGTATCATTATCTTAAACACGCCATTGATATAATTTACTTTTGGAATTGAATTGAAATTGATGTAAGTTTATTGAGGTATAAATACACGTCTCTCCCACTCTCTAGGTTATCTGCAGGATGCAGCTCACAACAGTTTCCTTACTCACGGGCGCCTATTTAGTGCTGTGTGAAACGATTGGTTTGGTGTAGGAAATGTGTGTTAATATGACGCCCTGCCCGGGAGTGGCACCCGGGACCCACAGGACGTGACTAGAGGGCACTAACCACTTGAAGAGTGTTTTGGCTACACACTTGAGTTTTACACACTTGAGGCCCTTCACATAACGTGTATACGGTTACACTTTACATTAAGTGCACTTCACTTAACAATACACTTTATAATTAGTTAAAATTAAATATGTTGTCTCACTGTGCTCTACATTGGTCCTTAAGAGCCACACTGTGTAGACGACACCCCCTTTGTCCTACACTCTCCCCGTGTGCCCCGAACTATTATGTGGCACCAGTGTACCTGTCTCAAGTGTACCGTCTCTCCCACAGTGTCCCGGGCGCTGCACACCTGGAGGAGGAGCGCCAGGATTCTGAGCGGGTAGGTCAGCCTGTTGTGATCTGTCTGGTCATCTCTGGTGTACACATCATGCTATGGTGCGTGGTCACCCCTGTGGCTGCCCTCCACCATGTTGACCACTGTGTACCTGGTCATACAGTCATCTCCATCACGTACGGGACGAGAGAGAGAGAGAGAGAGAGAGAGAGAGAGAGAGAGAGAGAGAGAGAGAGAGAGAGAGAGAGAGAGAGAGAGAGAGAGAGAGAGAGAGAGAGAGAGAGAGAGTGTGTGTGTGTGTGTGTGTGTGTGTGTGTGTGTGTGTGTGTGTGTGTGTGTGTGTGTGTGTGTGTGTGTGTGTGTGTGTGTGTGTGTGTGTGTGTGAGTGTGATATGATCATAGCTCACATGACAATATTCTGGTTAAGCAACTTGAGCCGTCGATAACCAGGAAGACCCGTGTGTTGAACCTGGCATCAGGCGAGGCAGCCCCGAGAGCCTTAAGGAGCGTCTCAGCCTGCCCGCTCTGGGGGCATGACCTGTCGACTTGGAGGGTACGTCACGCCTCCCTTCTCTCACTTCTGGCTATGGTACAGATCTACCCGAAGGGCTCATTGTCAAGCGTGCCCTTCAGAGACCTCGCACTGGCTGTACCATTGTCTACCGCATTGTCATTTCATCAACCATCACCCATTCATCGCCGGAATCACAAGTGAATATTCGAGGGCTTTAGTTTCACTCTGTAAGTGGCCCACAGATGGCTTCATCTTCACCCTATACCTTATACTCGTATGACAACGTAATACTAAATAAATTTTAAAGCTACCTCAAAATAAATGCTTTGAAATGAGGTGAAGAAGGATAACAAAATCTTCCGTTTGCATTTCTACTCAAAGTGTTCCTTCTTCGTTCAAATTTTGTTCCCTGTTAGCATTCATGTTCTGTTCTTGCCTTTCTGCCCCTTCGTCCGTGCGTAGTCGTTCCCCTAAGGTATTCGTAGCAATAATTTATAATAATCTCTTTATCATTTTTCGGTGGTCTCTTAGACAGTGGTCAGCGGGATATCATTATCTCACCTTTTTTGACAAATGTTAAAATACGTGATTAACAGTTGACCGGAAGGCACATCCTCTGGTTGGGGGAGATGCCTCTGAACGCAACTCTCAAAATAATATTAGTCATTTTATCAGAAGTTTATCTTATCGATGAGGGTTGAGAGAGGGTGTAGAAGAGAGGCCGTGAGGCAGCAGGGGCTTCCTGGTCTTGTCTGGAGCCTGGAGGTCTGGGTGCATCGTGAAGGGGACTTCTGTCTGCTGGCTAAATGAATTAGTTTAATAACGAAGCGGCATCACAGTTATAACCCGGCTGGTGATGAAAATAATGATATGACATTTATCTACTCTAGTCTAAGATTTACTGTGTTTATCTCTGAAATTCTCGACTTATTAATTGTTCAGATTGACACGAGGATACATGTGTTTACTGCATTAGTTTTACATAATGGAGTATATATAGATATATAGTCTATATACATATATAAGACGGAAAGCTCTGGCAATGTTTGGATTACACACGCGGCGCGATGTTGATAACTGAGCCTTCACTCGCCACGCCAAAGAAGTGACATACCAGTGTGTTGGCATCTGGAGCAAGAACACCCTCTGGCGGAGAATTCCTCGCCCTGTGCCAACAGCAGGCGCCATCTGTGAGGGTAATCTGTGGGGGCTTTGAGACAGTAAGCAGAGCGTATTGTGGAGCTGGTCGTCCTTGGTGGGTGATGGAGGAGAGCCAGAACCTTGAGGACAGGAGGGAGGGAGACAGTGACGGGCCTCGCCAGCAGACGCTCACTCTTTGTGGTACAGCACAACATTGCCACTCAACAACATTTCATGACAAACACGAGGAAGAAGAAAATATCACAGATCAAGTTCAGGACACTGACGACGAGTTCCATAACGCTGTCGAGTTTCAGGATACATACACTCAGCCCAACAAAGTTAACGATGAGTTCCAGAAAAATGACCAGAATTTTCATAACGGTGACGTTGCCCTCAGAAAGCCTGACTGTGGCACTAGTGGAGCTGATGAAGCCAGGGACGGCACCAACAACAGTGGCAACAATATGGTTCAAAAGGCAAAAACTCACAGAAGGATTCCTGCCCCATTGTCACTTCCTCCACCTTCGTCATCTCTGTTTTTTCCTGTATACACCTTGTCGTCCCCGTCGTCGCCGTCGTGGGAGGGGAGGTCGTCTCTACGACTGGCCACCATCAACGAGGAATACACTGTCGGTATGAGTGACAGGAGCAGCAAACTGGTGGAGGTCAGGCAGAAGTTCGTCGGCGTCCTAGGTCGACTGCGGACTAAGAGCGAGTGGTGGACTTTCGATGGAAAGTGAGTATATTGTTTACATGGCTTTGTTAGAGCACGCGAGACGTTGAGCGCTGCTTGTGGGGCTTAACATAAGGAAAGTCAGTACAAGAAGTTTAAGCTTAAAGTTTTAATGTTGTTTATGGAGGTTCATTATTTGTTTTCTCGTGGAGAATGCATCCCCCATCCCTCTCCTCCCAGGCCCACCCACCGGAACACTCCTGCGACGACACCCCTTCCCGCCTCACACCTCTACCACCGCTCAACTGGCAGTCTGAAATCGTGGTACTCACCTAGTTGTGCTTGCGGGGCTTGAGCTTTGGCTCTTTGGTCCCGCCTCTCAACTGGTGTACACACTCCTGAGCCTACTGGGCTCTATTATATCTACATTTGAAACTGTATGGAGTCAGCCTCCACCACATCACTGCCTAATGCATTCCATCTGTTAACTACACTGACACTAAAAAAGTTCTTTCTAACATCACTGTGGCTCATTTGGGCACAAAGTTTCCACCTGTGTCCCCTTGTTTGCGTACCACTCGTGCTAAACAGTTTATCTACCCTGTCAATTCCTTTAAATATTTTATAGGTCGTGATCATGTCTCCCCTAACTCTTCTGTCTTCCATTGTCGTGAGGTTTAATTTAAAGAATCTTTCCTCGTAGCTCATACCTCTCAGCTCAGGAACTAGCCTGGTGGCATTCCCCTGAACCTTTTTTAATTTTGTTTTGTGTTTGACTTGATGTGGACTCCATGCTGGAGCCGCATATTCCAGTATTGGTCTGACATATGAGGTATTCAAGATTCTGAATGATTCCTTACACAAGTTTCTGAAGGCAGTTCTTATGTTCGTCAGCTTTGCATACGCCGCTGATGTTCTCATTTTGATGTGAGCTTCAGGGGACAGGTCTGGTGTGATATCAACCCCCAGATCTTTCTCTCTACCTGACTCCAGAAGAATTTTCTCTCCCAGCTGGTACCTTGTCTTTGGCCTCCTGCTCCCTACCACTATCTTCATTACTTTGCACTTGCTCGAGTTAAACTCTAGTTGTTATTTGTTGGACCATTCCTTCAGTCTGTCCAGGTCATTTTGTAGTCATTTGCTGTCCTCCACTGCCTTAATCCTTCTTATAATTTTACCATCATCAGCTAACATTGAGGAATGAGTTTCTACCTTATGGAGGATCATTTAAGTATATCAAAAACAGGATAGGTCCGAGTTCAGAACCCTGCGGGACTCCACTGGTGACATCACGCCAGTCTGAGGTCTCACCCCTCACTGTAACTCTCTGCTTCCTGTTGTTTAGGTACTCTCTTATTCATTGGAGCACCCTACCACTTACTCCAGCTTGTTTCTCCAACTCATGCAAGCCTCTTATGGGATACTGTGTCAATAGCTTTCTGATAGTCCAAGAGAATGCAGTCTAGCCTTCCTTCTCTTTCTTGCTTAATGTTTATTGTTTGGTCATAAAATTCTATTAAACTTATGAGACACGACTTGCCTTCCCTAAACCCACGCTGGTGGTGTGTTACAAAGTCCCTTTTCTCCAGATGTGTTACAAGGCTTTTTCTCACGATCTTCTCTATCATCTTGTTTGGTAGATAAGTTTAGACAACGGCCTGTAGTTTAGTGCCTCCTGCCTTTCGCGTTTTTTGTATATTGGAACTACGTTAGCTGTCTTCCAACTCTCTGGTAGGTCTCCTGTCTCCTGGTACTCGCCTTCCCGCGAGTTTAGAGCAGTTTTTCGGCTTTTTATATTAATGCTTGTTCACTGAGAGATACTGATACATGTGTCGTGTACTGCCACACATGTGATAATAACTGACGCAGGTAACACAGACTAACTAACACACGTGATACATACTGACAAAAGTGATACAAACCTGACAGGTGATATATACTGATACATGTGCCTCATACTGAAACATGTGATACGTAATGAAAAAGTAATACACCATGGCATACCCGGTTCTTTATTCACTCGACCAACCGTGACTGTACAAAAGACATTGGTAGCCGAGGATATTTCCCCAACATCCCGACAGCACTTGGTGGTAAGCGTGGGCATAGACATTTCATCGTATCATTGAATTGTGTTGCTCACATGGCCCCACAAAGTGAGGTGATTCGATGAAATATCTGTGCCCAAGCTTACCACCAAGTGCTGTCGGGATGTTGGGGAAATAGCCTCGGCTACCAATGTCTTTTGTACAGTCACGGTTGGTTGGGTGGTTAAAGAACTGGGTATGCCATGGTGCATAGTGCTCCTGACTGTCTGGGTTCGAATCCTTCTGGGGTATGGAGTTTTCAGTTGCATATATGCTTGGGGACTATATATATATATATATATATATATATATATATATATATATATATATATATATATATATATATATATATATATATATATATATATATATATATATATATATATATATATATATATATATATATATATATATATATTAGTGTAGTGTAGTTTTATGTGATTTAACGCTTGCTAAACCATTATGAACACTGAAACACTTGTTATGAACATTTGAAATTGTTAGTAAGAAATTACACAAGTTGATACAGGCAGTCTCAGGTCAGGCGGGCAGTGGGAGGATACATGAGCCAGCCTCCAGAAGGCCGCTACCAATAGCAGCATTAATAACTCGCCAAGGCTTCACCACGGAAATCCTGCTACCGGGTCGGGTTGCGAGAGGAGAACTCTCGAGCAGAGTTAAACACAGATGGCAGTAGTAAGCTTTATGGTCATTGGGTCTCCCGCTCCCATTTTTGGAGATATATACAAGAGTTGTTACATTCTTGTACAGCCACTAGTACGCGTAGCGTTTCGGGCAACCATTTGAGTCGTCTGCGAACTATACAGAAGCCGGACACGCGAAGATTTGTGAGTTTGTGTCGTGACTTAGTGATTGTGGCAATATCTTTTTTTTTTTGAGATATATACAAGAGTTGTTACATTCTTGTACAGCCACTAGTACGCACTAGTACCACTAGTTGATCTACACCTTAGTCCCTAAGGTGTAGATCAATATCTTCTTGAATGACTCTTAATTTCTGACATAAAGTAGCCTAGTACTGATTAGCGCTGATACTGGCTTGGGCTTTTTATCATCGCTGTTATGTTGTGATAACATAATTTTAACTTAAGGTGTAGTGTTATCCTTAAGGTGTAGTATAGTCCCAGAGGTGTAGCATAGTCCCTAAGGTGTAGTATAGTCCTTAAGGTGTAGCAGAGTCCCTAAGGTGTAGCATAGTCTCTGAGGTGTAGCATAGTCCCTTAAGGTGTAGCATAGTCTCTGAGGTGTAGCATAGTCACTAAGGTGTAGCATAGTCACTAAGGTGTAGCATAGTCACTAAGGTGTAGCATAGTCACTAAGGTGTAGCATAGTCACTAAGGTGTAGCATAGTCCTTAAAGTGTAGCAGAGTCCCTAAGGTGTATTATAGTCCCTAAAGTTTAGCATAATTCTTAAGGTGTAGCTGAGACATTAAGGAGTAGTGTGGTCCTTAGCGTGTAGCGTGGTCTTTAAGGTGTACTGTAATTAAGGGGTATTGTAGTCCTTCAGGCGTAGTGTAGTACTTAAGGTGTAGCGTAGTCCTGTTGTCCCATTTTTTGACGTGTGGTCCAGAGTTATTGATTGGTTTGACGTTGGCCTTATGGCTCTCAACCTCTGGAGGGTAATCAAGGTCACCACAATAGCTTCCTGACCAGCCAGCAAATAAACTTTAATCCCGAACATAATCCTGGAGGTCTATGTTGCTGCTCAGGTGGCACAGTGGTACAGCTCTATCATCCCTACACAGTCCAGACATTCAACACCGAGCTAGTACATAATATTCGGATGTTCCATCCGATTTTAAATATTACACAAATGATAATATTATAGCTGTTACAGTGACTCTAAACTGCGAGGGAGAGTGTGACAGAGCTCGGGCAAGTAAACTGAGATACCTTTGTTAATCATCTCAACTCCGAAGTCCCCCTCAGTAAGGCACGGGGAAGATATTAAATGAATCAGCTAGGCACGGGGAAGATATTAAATGAATCAGCTAGGCACGGGGAAGATATTAAATGAATCAGCCAGGCACGGGGAAGATATTAAAGATTTAACAATCTTTTCCCGGTCACAAATTAAGATTCAATGCTGGCCAAGACGGTAGGGGAAGATGAATGCAAAGCACTGATCTCAGAATTTTTGTTAAACCCGACTTTACATATATATCTTCCCCGGCGAGGATGGTATCATTTATGGCATATTATTTTTTCATTCCTTTAGGAGAAGGAAATCCCATTCTTAAACTGTATAATATGAGCTGCGCAATTGGGGAATTACTTATCTCATGGACCAACATTAATCTCCATTCCAATTCCCAAGATAAATCAAGAGATAAATCAATCTTTCTGTCCTATTTGTCTTACTAGTTACATCTGCATAATATTTGAGAGGATGGTCCTAAACCGTCATCTTATACAATAAGAACCATGCTGTCCCCTTTGACGCCTGGCTTCATGCATGAGAGTGTAACATAGGAGTCCTCATCTTGCACTCAGGCAAATCATACACCACCTTCCTAAATCTCGTCTGCATTAGACATTACATACTGACATGTCATTCTGAGTGAGCTCGCCAGAGAAAAAATTAGAGAAAATATATTAATTCAGGAAAACTTGGCTTATTAGGCAAATCGGGCCTTGCATAGTAGGCCGAGAAGTGCATTCTGGCTACTAGGTACGACATATATATATATATATATATATATATATATATATATATATATATATATATATATATATATATATATATATATATATATATATGACAATGTCAGACCACGGAGGAAAAATGAAACAGGAATTTCCTTAAGTACTTTCGTATAATAATACATCTTCAGAAGGAGTCAGAAGGATTTTCGTGATATACACACACACACACACATATATATATATATATATATATATATATATATATATATATATATATATATATATATATATATATATATATATATATAT